CTTTATTTATAAACAGGTAAAATGAACTGACCGGGCTAGCCCGGCTGGGTCAACATACAAAAATAGTTAAGATAATAATATTATGAATACAGATAATAAATTAGAACTGCACATCATGGTAGAATATACTTCAAGTATTCATGATTAAACACATTAGGTCTATACAGTTCATAAATACTGTTCAGTGTTCATGGTTAAACAAATTAATTCTATACAGTTCACGAATACTGTTCAGTATTCATTATTAAACACATTAGGTCTATACAGTTCATAAATACTGTTTAGTGTTCTTGGTTAAACTAATTAATTCTGTACAGTTCACGAATACTGTTCAGTATTCATGATTAAACACATTAGGTCTATACAGTTCATAAATACTGTTCAGTGTTCATGGTTAAACAAATTAGTTCTTTAAACTTTTAAAATGAGACTATTTGATATAAAATAAATTCTTAGTTTGAAATAAAGATCTAAGACATTGGGTTGCAATTTGCAGGTATTGAAAAATTAGAGAAAAATAAAATTTGCTCTTACAAACGAAAAATATTTTATAAATATGAACTTTAAATGTTAATAAATTTTACAAAGTTGAACGTAGTTAAATGTCAGCCTCAATTGTATGATTGTTGTTATTGCAATATTTATAACAATATTATCAATATTATTAATTCTATAATAGTTATCATTATCATTATTACTATTATCATATAATCATTATTTTTAACATTATTCGTGTAGATGAATTATTTGTATTCCCCAATATTTTCGCTTGGGAATTAGACGTAGATACAGCAATTTATCTACAGGGTGTCCCACATCAAATTAGACCGCGTCAATGGGTCTAAATTACGATTTGGGGGACAAATCAGAAAATTTAAGAAGAATGAATCATTTTGAAAAATTTATTAAGGCTAATAAAAATTTTTTTTTTGCAGAAAATGCTAGATTTTTTTAGTATAATGTGCGTATTTAGGTGTTAAAGATTGGAGATAATCTAATATGATATGGGACGCTCTGTAGATTGCGCACAGCAAAAATTGACAGAGATTATAAACTGATATACCGCAAACCAAATAGATTTTAGTACAATAGATGGCAACGTAACATTTGTACACTCTCAGTACAGCTGTATTCTGACGTCACACGTGTCAACAGATTTATGTATCCGACAAAGTAATTAATAAAAGTGATGATTTTAGAATAAAGTTCTTATCTTACAGTAAAATAAATGCATTAGGATGTGTTCTTTAACTTCTGTTTTCACACTTTTTTTATTTAATCTTGGAAAACATGTCAACTAATTTGAGAACATTTCGTTTTCCTAGTTATATTTGACACTTGTGACGTTGTGTATAATTGGTCTATTTCTCTATTGCCACCTATTGTACTTGATAATCTATTTGCCGCAAACATGTTCGTTAAAGGGAACAATATTCATTATAAAGGAAGAAATATGCGATATATCTGAAGTGGCATCATTTTCAGAGAAATTACATCTTATATATCTTATCCTTACATCTTCTGTTGTTTTTGTACATTCTGTACTTTTTGAATTTTTTGACCACATGCATTTACGTGTTTCATGTTTTTAATAGATTATTTGTTTAACTCATTGTTTAACTTTAGGAGGAGAAGAATATCTCACATTTGGAGGCTGTTCTGTGAATTCTGGAGGAAACATGGATCCTAAATCTGGAATATTTAGTGTTCCTGTTACAGGTTGGTAACAATGATGTTTTTAACTGTTTTTATCATAGGCTGTAACCTCAGAGATAGGATCAATGCTTGATCTGGATCTGTTTTTAATCTGCAGATTTATTTAATCTTTAATTAATGGTAATCGTACCCAGTCAGGGGTGGAATAACTGAAAAAAGTAATTGAATTAAAAGTTCCCGAAGTTGACATCGAGATCAAGTGATCGGTATTTTGAGTAAACACAAACGTGCACCAAGTATAACTCAATTTTATTTAAAGATCGCAGATTTTTTGTTAATATTAACGGATTTCTAAAATGCATTCGTCATTACAACGCAGATGAAAAAGTAAAAAGGAACATTATTATATGTATACTCTAGGCTGTTACCTGTTTTGTCTTCATGTCTGCACATATGATATAAAGAAAGTAAAAAGGAACATTATTATATGTACTCTAGGCTGTTACCGGTTTTGTCTTCATGTCTGCACATATGATATAAAGAAAGTAAAAAGGAACATTATTATATGTATTCTAGGCTGTTTCTGTTTTGTCTTCATGTCTGCAAATATGATATGAAAAAAGTAAAAAGGAACATTATTATATGTACTCTAGGCTGTTACCTGTTTTGTCTTCATGTCTGCACATATGATATAAAGAAAGTAAAAAGGAACATTATTATATGTATTCTAGGCTGTTACCTGTTTTGTCTTCATGTCTGCACATATGATATGAAGAAAGCTCTTTTGTCCATCAGGTAATTAAAATTTTGAAAAAGAACATTTTTTTATTAAAGTTTATTTCGTACACAATTAAGGTACAATACATACATATACTGCAAGGAAAGTTATAAACACAAAACGGATGTCACAGCCTGACAAGTGAAATATTCTGGTCATAGGAAACTATTATGTGAATAATCAAGAAGATCAAAAGCTTCGGATACTAAACGAACACTGATGCACCCATTCTTGTTTACAAACACCGCCCAGAGAGAACTGGTTTCAATATGTACGCAGAGTATACACAACCGCAATTAACTTTTCTTGTTTTATTACCTTGGTACAATAGATACATATTAGGAGGTGTACATTACTAACATATTTCAATAAATGAAAAAATGGATAAACATATAAATGTTATCATTTGTAACTGATAGTCGCTACGTAAAAAAAAACTAATTAACTCATTTAATCAAAATTGTCAACAGAACTAAGATTAAATCTTAAATCTAACAATTTGCAAATGAGTGGTAATTTTCCAAAATATATCAAAATGGACAGATTATGCATTGAAATATTGCAATAGTTTACAATAGAATAAATGTTTTTACGTAAAAATGTTCGCTGATAATTTTAAAAGAAGGAGTTAAAAAAAATGCTCTGCATCAGCAGAAGGACTTAATATTTTATTTTTTAAGCAAACGTTTTCACGCCCCCCTGACCCTCTAGTAAAATTAAATTTAAAGTCTGACCGTGTCAACCTTGTTGCACCGACTAGTCTTATTGAGTTCTGCTTTATTTATCCAATGTCCGGGCGATACATTACAAACTGGGACTGGAAAGGTTGACCCGGCTCAAAAATTTAAATGTACTACGGCTGCCCGTGTACTGCATTATTTATACAAGCTTGTTCTTTATTAACAAGTGCTAAGGTAGCTAGAGTTATAATTAGAATTTAGTGTATTTACCAAAGAGAATAGAATATATATTAGAGGGGAATTAACTATAAAAAAATGTAAAACGGCCATTTTGTTGTACTGTTTCCATACTGCAGAGCCTGAAATTTAAAAGAGTATCGTTGAACGAAACCGAGTTTCCTTTTTGGGGTCTTATTTTTTGTGTAGATTTTGATTTAAGATATTTGATAAAACTGGTAAGATATAAAGGATTAAATAAAATAATATTTCAAAACAAAAATATCGATATCTACAAAACTGGGTAAACTCATTTGTGAAACCCGGGTTCCAAAACTGGTTTTCATAACGATACCCTGTCTTAAGTTTTGGGCTCAGGCGTACTTCACATATTTGTGCTATATAACCTTTTGGGCCCTGGATCATCATTTTATAAATTTGTAAATCAATTCTCTGTAAGGTTTATGAAACTGTTGTTTGGTTTACAACCAATTACCGCACAATATCGAACCATTTTTCTGACAATTTTTTTCAAAAGTTGAATGTTTAAAAATGACAAATTTTTAAATGGGAAAATTATTTTGGATTAAGAATCTTCAATTCAAAAGTTTTCTTCAACTAAATGTTTTGAAAATAAAATCTAAAATTAATATTAAACGAAAACCAAATTATGAAATAGGCTGGTTTCATAATTGAGTAATTGACCAATGATCATTTCACATTGACTCTATGCCTTCCACTTTACAAACGAAGATTTTCCGTCATAACTATAAATCAAATGCTGTTTTTTATTCACCTAATTCATTTTATAAAGTTTATTTAACAGATTTAAGAAATTCGAAATTGAAATTATAGTCTAGGGAACATACTATATTAATGTACTCTACTGCATATAATTTGTGAACATTTACATGATTTGTACACTTTGAACTCCCTTTCAGGCTGAAAGGGACTGAAAAATTCATACTGCGAGATTGTCTAAATTCCCCCCTAATATATATTCTATTCTCTATGGTATTTACTGAAATTCTGTACTGTACTGCACACAGACATCTGTACACTGTACGGCACGTGGGACTTACAGGGTGTCCCACAAAACATGACAGTTGGTGAATATTTTTAAATGTCTTTTTCGACATACTATAGCTATAGCTATTAAAGAATTTAACAGTGTATTACATTGAAAAAAATATTTTATGCTAATTTATTTTGTCTAGAAATTTATTCTAAAATGATATAACTGCCCTATAATATTTTTTATCATTGTTTTTGGCATTAATTATATTAATTATAATTATAATTATATTCTAAGTGTATAAGTTTTCTTTTGTTTTTAAAAAAGTATTTGAGAAGAAGTTTTTGGCATTAAACAACTTAAAAATTATGGAAGAAGACATTTAAAACTATTCACCAATTCTTATATGTCGTGGGACACCCTGTATGTGATTTAAATATGATCAGTGGGACACCCTGTATGTGATTTAAATATGATCAGTAGAAGAAAATTTAATATTTAATATTTGTTTTGAAGTAGATCTGAAAACAATGCTTTAAAAAATATTTTCAAGTGGACAATATTATTTATGTTTGTTATTCTATTTTTAAAATCTTTTTTTATTAAAGATTTCTGAAAGAATACGAAAAAATATCAAAATACAAGCTAATGAATACTCGATGAAAAACAAATAATTCATGAATATATAATACAAAAATGTAACATTGCTTTACTTACAAGGTGTTCCTGAAAAACGCTCTTTAACGTACTCGAGCTTGCAGTATAGTTCGATTTTTACATTGCTAAACATCTTCAATATTTATTTACTATTTTCAATCCGTTGACAATAATTAAAGATTTGTAGAATATAGAAACTTATGGCAGTTTAAAGTTTGCTAATTTTTCTTGGTTCAGTTCGTAAAGGAATTGAGTCTTTGCCACAAACTCTGATTTTCTAATCACTATATCTTTTGAACCAAATGTTGCAGACCTTAGATATTGCAAACTATGAATTCTGCTAGATCAAATAATCTGAGTTTGAAATATCAAAGGTCATAGAGTTCTAAAGATATTGAGGTTTAAATATTGGATTTTGTTCCAAAGACTCAATTCCTTTGTTATATTCGTTTTTGGAACATGTTTTGTGATTTTTAAAGGGTCTTAAATGAGAAAAATTTCTTTTAAGAAATCTTAAATACTGTAGGGGTTTACAGCAAAAACTAGGGGGCTTTAAATGGAAGAAAAGTTGCCATAGAGAGGCAACATTACTGTGGACATGAGCAAAAACTAAACAATACTGTATTTAAGAGCTGAGAGCTGCGAAATGTATCGTAAATAATACATTGCAGTTAGTTACACTTTATATTATTACACTTGCTACAATTACACTTACTATAATTACACTTATTTTGATTACATTTCCTTTAAAGTTACAGTTCATATATAGTTACAATTCATATAATTACACATTGTGTTGGGTAAGATTAGGTTAAAAGACAATTTCTGGAACTAGTTCTATGGCTGGCATGTGCTTGAGGGCTGAGCGCCGCGGCCTCTTAGACGTTAAATATTGTGTTTTCTCACCTTATTTTTGGTTAAGTCAAGGTGAGACAATTTCTGGGCCGAGCGCCGTGGCTAGAACAGGTTACAAGGGCCGAGCGCGGAGGATACATAAATGAGAAATCAATTCAGAATTAATTCGGAAATGTAAATTTTAGCAGATGTAAGTATAGGAAGCCTTGATCAAATACTTTTTTTTTAATGTGTAATAAGAATTATAAAAAATGTTGTTACGCAACCAAATAAAACTCTTTTACATTATCTCGCGAAAGTGTAAACATTGCTGAGTTGCATTTCAAAATAAATAAAAATATGTAATTTAGACGGAATGGCGTTGAGATCGCTACACTGTTTGATCAGAATCACGTGGATAATCATAAGAACAGTATGGCCGGTCAATCAATCTTAGCTGAGCTAGAGGAGGGGGATCGAATACAGGTATTTTAACAATCATCTAAAACTGGCAAAATTTGTCCAAAGTTTTTCAACCCTGAATAAATCACTGTCAGCCGTAGTACATTTGAATTTCCGAGCTGGGTCAATCTTTCAGGTCCCAGTTTGTACTGTATTCCCCGAACATTGGGTAAATAAAGCAGACACTTAATAGGAATAGCCAGTGCAACAAGGTTGACGCGGTCTGACCTAAGGTTGAATTTACTTTTACTAAAGGATTTTGAATATTTCTTCTAAATTTAAACTTGATTTTTTTAAATGTGGTTTCTATATAAGACACAATAAGATAGTTATCATAATTAAACACTGTTCAAAATAGAACTATTTCACATTATGACCCAATGTTCTGTTTTATAGGTGTATATAAAAACATTTACTGGTTTGCATGATAAAGCTGGAAACCATATGACCCAATGGTATTAATAGATTGTTTCTGTTTTATAGGTGTATATGTACACATTTACTGGTTTGCATGATAAAGCTGGAAACCATATGACCCAATGGTTGGGCTTACTGGTCAAACCTCTCAGCTCTCTACCTGAGTCCTCTAAGCTAGTTGATAAACCCAGGAAAAGGGTTATCATGTCACTCGAATAAAACTAAACAAGTGAAAAGTACGTCATCTGATTTCAATCTTTTTGTTATAAACGTTTTTTACTTTGTAAATTTTTGGAATTTTGGAAGGTTCATGTGAACTATGCAACGAGGTTATAGTGTATAGAGTGCTGATGTACGCTAATCCGTTACTAATTTAGAGACCATAAACTATACCGAGAGCGTACTGCATATTTGTTTATTATACTGAGATTCTGGCCTAACCTATAGTATATCAATATTAGTAAACTGTTGTAAGTGTACAGTTCAGCTAACTGAGCACACAGTTAGAGAACTATCATCCCCCCTGGAAATATGCCTCTTGGCTTATGAATGATTCATGTATTTAAATTGAATAATGCTATTTATGTAAGTTTGTTTACTTTATTATTTATATATAGTGTGCATTTTAAACTAATGTTATTACTGAAGCTGAAACATAAGTTAATATTGTTAATGTTAATCCAGAGACAAATAAAGACTGCTCGAGATTTGAACATTTTTTGTTTTTGTTTATACCATTTTTTGGAAGTTTTTATTTTTATCTATTTTTTATTTTAGATAAGCCAAATTTAGAGTTTAGACATGACAAATTTAGAGTTTGGACATGACAAATTTAGAGTTTAGACATGATAAATTTAGAGTTTAGATACGCTAATATTAGAGGTCAGACATGACAAATTTAGAGTTTAGATAAGCCAAATTTAGAGCTTAGACATGACAAATTTAGAGTTTAGACATGACAAATTTAGAGTTTAGATATGACAAATTTAGAGTTTAGAAATGCCAAATTTAGAGTTTAGATATGACAATATTAGAGTTTTGACATGACAAATTTAGAGTTTAGATAAGCCAAATTTAGAGCTTAGACATGACAAATTTAGAGTTTAGATAAGCCAAATTTAGAGCTTAGACAAGACAAATTTAGAGTTTAGAAATGCCAAATTTAAGGTTTAGACCCACCAATATTAGAGTTTAGACATGACAAATTTACAGTTTAGACATGACAAATTTAGAGTTTAGATAAGCCAAACTTAGAGTTTAGACATGCCAAATTTGGAGTTTATAAGTGTCAAATTTAGAGTTTAGACCCACCAATATTAGAGTTTAGACATGACAAATTTAGAGTTTAGATAAGTTCCTTTGACACTGAAGGAAAAAAGATGCAAAAAACGAACCAAAAACAATCGTATTCTTGCAATTTGTTTTTCTTTCGTTTTCCATTTATTTTAAGAATAAAAAATTGAATGAAAACAAACTTTAGCAGAATGCTTGTCTTTAAATGTTGAAAGATTTCTTTAAAAAAAATGTAAACAAAAGTAGTCTGAACAAAACTTTGAAAATCGTTAAAGCTTATGTCTTATTCAGCAAACTATTTTCATAGTGTAAAAAGATAAACGTTAAAAAACATACTATTGAGAAGTTGCCAGAAGTTTAAAATTTTTGTGAGGCATTCTGAAAGCCAAACAAATGAATGTATAATAAACCGGAAATCTATGTCTAATCCCTCAATGTATTATCAGGTTCTATCATGGTTTAAAAAGAATGTTGCATGTTTTATATCTTTTAGATCTTAAAGTTAAGTCACTGGGTTTAAATTAGCGTTTACATTTATTTTCTAAATTGCTTAATTATGAATATTATATGAAGGCATTTAAAAATGTTTTCAACAAAATAAAATAAAATAAATTGGATGTTTTTCTATAGGAACTATAAATAGTACATATCTCTTCTATAGGAACTATAAATAGTACATATCTCTTGAGTTTTAAACTTTTTCATTAAAAGATTTTAAAAAAATTTGATTTAAAAAATAAATTTAAAATTCAAAAGAGAGTTAACTTTGGACATTTTTTTAACATTTTAATCAATTTGAAGGTTTATTTGGTTTATATAGTTTATTTGGTACACCACAAATTAGAAGCCATAGGATCAAGTTTTCTTCCCTTTCCGACTTTACAAAAAATACAGTGTTAAAGGGAGTGTTCTCAAAAAAAGAAAGGGTTTCAGGCGTATGGCGAATAATATGCGCTTTTGATCGCTACTAATCTTACTTCTATCTGTTTCGTCTATAAAGAGAAAAATGTTAAAAACTACTTGTACCGAATAACGTAGCATCCACCAAAATTGAGAAAAATTGCAATCTATGACTCGGATCGTAAAAAAATCAATTTAATATCAAAGAAATCATTTAGGTATTACAACCTTTCGTCATCGATAATTTTTCTGTGCATTCGTATATAGTTGATATTTCATAATATTTTGTATTTGTTTTATACACAATGCACTTATAATAACGCCTATTATTTTGTCCACAAGGTGTCTCTGTTCTCTGTTATTTGTTTGAAATTAAATTGATTTTTTTACGATCCGAGTCGCATTTTTCAATGTTCTCAATTTGGTTGGATGCTACGTTTTTCAGCATAAGTTGTTTTTAACAACTTTCTTCTTATAGACGCAACAGATAGAAGTAAAATTAGTATCAATTAAAAGCGCTTATTGTTTGTCGTAAGCCTGTACCCCCTTTCATTTTTCGCGCACACTCCCTTTAAAACGAATAAAAAGTTACATGTATCTTGTTTACTATTTTTAAAAAATAAAATTCAACATTTCAAATTTGTTGCCCTCCGGAAAATTTGTTGTATTTTTGATCTTGTGAGTACAAAGCATTGAAGCAAGTAAACATTTAACTTAGTCTGTTTTGAAAGTAAAATGTTTGTTCTTACATGCACATATATGCACATAATTTGCTTAACTCTGAACAGGCTTGGAGGATGGGTGGGGCATTTAGTTTGTATTTTTTGAAATATATTATTCCAAAAGTTAAACTTATTTATTAATCGCTGGTAATCAAATTATTTGGAGGAAGTCTATAAATGGAAAAATTAAGAAGGAATAAATGTAGCACAGTCTCTCTCTAGTTTCATAAACCCAGAACTATAAGACATCAACAGAATTATAAAATGTCGTCTTGACAATTTTTAATTGGTAATTGTAAAACTTAAGAAAGAGCCATTAATTATACAAGAACTGTTTTTCAGAGCTCCATTTAATTTTTCAATTGTTAAACTAAATATCTGCAGCATTCTACTATCAGTAGGTTTAGAAAACGACATTTTATAAAATCTTTTGAATATACAACGAAGTTCTTGGTTAAACTGTAACATAAATAATAGTGTAGTGAAAACAATACAAACAAAGAGAAATATTAACTTAGAGCAATTTTAAGTTTTCAACATGAATCATATCAGAATTTGCAAAATTAATGATCCCAATAAAAGAAGAAAAGTGCAATCACAGTTTTAGATTTAGAACCTTGTCACAACAATAAAAGAAATTATTGTTCTTCTGTTGAGCAACCTAAAATTTACCAAGTTTCATTAAATTCTAAAATTAAAATAAAAGAGATTTTTTTTGTCCTCAGGACATGATCGGGTTGTTACGATCAAATCTCGGAATTTTTTCTATTGCGAAAGTTTGGTGTTGTCTGGTTTTTTATATTGATCTACCAGGGGTTGTTATCTGGCAGCACATTCATCCATCATCATTCACTAGGATTATCCGTCATCCCTAGAAGAGGGTTGACAAGATTCCAGCTGCCAAAGATTCTTATTAGGCCTGAGAATATAAAGTGCAGGAATCCTTGTGATATACTGGAATGAGGCCCGGGTGCAATACAGAGAGGAAACATCACACTCATTTCTCCCTAACATCTGTAAGCCCAGATTGGATACCCCCAGGTACCTATAGCCGGCACCCATATACTCTCCCTGCTTGTCCACCTCGTCCACCATTACTCCTCTGTCCTCCTACATCCGTTAGGTGATCATAACTGCTTCAGATGTGAACACCAGTCTGGACATTAATCCAGTTACTGGCTGTGGACAAGTGCCCTTAACTTCAGTGATCTGGTGTCACACACTCTCCGCACTACCCCACAAATCGTATTGGAACTTCACTGCAATTTAAAAAGGTCTCACCCCTCTCTTACAAAAATCGATTTGAATTTTGGCAATTACTCTTTAAAAACCAAAGCTAACAACAAGGGTTCTATGTGCTAAAATGAAGGGATACAGAAACGCATAAGTGAGTTAGATCAATAACATTTAAGGCGTTGCGATACTTCAAAGTCGACCCTGTCTTAAAAATTGATAAGACTGTTTATAATCAGGTTGATTCTTAATTATGACCTTAGATTTTCAATATTCATTTTTCGTTTTCTTGTAAAAATCAAATTTTTCTGAAATGCAATTAAGATTTGGTACAGTTTTATATTTAAAGAACTATTACATATTGATTCAGTTTAGAAACTGGTGTATGCTTATCGAGCAATAATTTCTCAAGTGCAACAAACTCAAATTTTGTAATCTCTATATCTTTGCAACCTTTGTAAACCTTTTATATATAGGTAAAACTTAGATTATATAATCTAACAGTTATAATAAATATCTAAGGTCAACTGCGCCGGTTGGGTTGCCATAAAATTGGGATTAGAAAATCAGAGTTTGTGACAAAGACTCCTTTGTTTTTAATCTTGATATTGTTTTGATAAAAGCACATGCAGGGCACAGCACAAACAGTAAACAAACTCTGCCCTGTCTTTCCTCTAATCCTTTAATCACTTTAACTAATATAAATACTTTGTAAAAGTTTGTTCCTATTAACTAAACCTCCCCCCCTTCCAGGAACAGGACCTTTCTCCTAAATCCCCTAATTTCAACAATTCATGGTTAAATAGGCTGAATTGCAGAAATCCCCAATTCTACTAAATATATTTACAAGAAAAGCAATACAAATTTGGGATAATAAAATCTCAATAAAACAGTTTTCAATTCAAAAATGCTTTTTTTAATGTTGATACAAAAAAAGAGTTATGCTGAAAGTAAAACACTTCTTGTTATTTAAGCACAGATTTATAATTCTTAATCTTTTTATAAATTTAGACAGGTGCTCAATTTTAATTAAAATAGATTTTACTATCTGAGCTGAAAACTTTAGAACGCTGGATAACAAGATTAATGCTTAAACTCCTGGTTTTACTAAACCCGAGATTAACCAATCAACGTATCATGTTAAGATGTACTCTTTAACTTTTGAAAAACCGGTTTTGATTTCTGGTGTTGATGGTGTCATATCAATTGAACTAAACATCGATTGAACGTAAGTTTCGGATTAATGTTTA